AAAAATCGGAACCAAGAGCAACAAGCAGGAGTCTGATGGGCTGGGCTGTTTGTCTCACTGCAGCCAGAAATGAGAGAGTTAATGACAGCCAAATTGCCTACAATGTGTTCAGAATCAAAGGTAGCACCACCTTCACTGTTATCACCTGGCCTAAGCCACCATCATTTCTCGCCTGGCTATTGAAATCATCTCTGAATCAGTCTCCTCACTGCTGCTCTTGTTCTCTGCTCCCAGCAGCCAGGGTGAGCTTTTTAAAACTTCTGTTAGTTCATGTCATTCCTCTGCTCGCTGACCCTCCCCACCACCACCACCAATGGCTCCCATCTCAGTGTGAAATCCAGTGCCCCTAAAATGCCTTTCCAGGTCCTAGAGACCTGGCGCCATTGCCTTTCTGACCTCATCTCCTGCTTCTCTCTTGCTCCCTCATTGCAGCCAGATTGGCCTCCCTGCAGTTCCTCAGATATAGTGGACATATTCCCAGTTCAAGGCTTTGCACTGGCTGTTCACGCTGCTGAATACATGGAAGGCTCCTCCTCCATGTATTCACATGGACCTCCCTTCACCTCAAGTCTCTGGGCAGCTCTCACCTCCTCATTGAAGGCTACCCTTATGGCCCAATGCCCACTCATCCACCCCTGTCTTAGCTCTCCCTACATCCTCCTTTCCTTTTTCATTTTTTCCTGTAATGCTTATAACTTTCATTCTCACTAGAGAATGTATTTATTATGCTTATTGTTTATTGTCTCTCTCCTCTGCTAGAGTATAAGCTCCTTGAGGGCAGGGATTTATTATTTTTTTTGCGTTACATGGGCCTCTCACTGTTGTGGCCTCTCCCATCGCGGAGCACAGGCTTCGGACACGCAGGCTCAGCGGCCATGGCTCACGGGCCCAGCCGCTCCGCGGCATGGGGGATCTTCCCGGACCGGGGCACGAACCCGTGTCCCCTGCATTGGCAGGTGGACTCTCAACCACTGCGCCACCAGGGAAGCCCAGAGGGCGGGGATTTTTGTTCTGTTTGTGGATGTATCCCAAACACCTAGAATGGTACTCGGCACTTAGTAGGCATATAATAAATATTTGTTGAAAGAATGAAAGAATAAGATTTCCATCTAGGGTTGATTTGACAACATCATTCTCAGCTCAACTAGCCAAAGGAAAAAGGAAACCAGGGAATGTTAAGATTCAGGAGATCCCACTGAGTAAAATGTTGTAACAAATCACCCATTGTACTCACTTCCCTCCTTCAATATACTGATATGTATTGGGAACATCGCTGTCAGCTAGGGACCATAGAAGGCAAGGGGCCTTCGTTGGAGGGTAACTTTGATCTGTCGATTATACACATACTTCTATGTCTATCCCATATCACTTGATGAATGTCACTAGAGGGTCTGGTGCCTAGCTTCAAAAGCACCGCATAATCAGGGCCCAACTCATCTCACTGGTCACCATTTTTCCTCACTCACACTGAGCTAATGGGGGTCTGGCCATGTGCAAGGCTGAAAGAGGGACCGGGGGAAGAGCTCATTTCAGTTTCTCACCATGGACTATTTTTTCAAGATCACTTTGTGGAGAAAAGATGGGGCATGAGGATGAAAGCACAATAGTCAGTTACAAGGCTCATGCTTCAGTCCAAATGAGAAATGACGGTAGTTTGAGCACAGCAGACACAAAAGGTTGTGAACAGATTTAGAATTTATTTTGGTGAGAGAACCAACTGGACCTATTAATAGATTGGATGTAGGGCGTATGGGAAAAAAGAAGCAAACAAGACTGATAATTTGTAGGCAATTATGTGGATAAATTTCAGAACATGGATATCATCTGTCTATTTATGATGATACTTGTCACGGCACTTGAAAAGATCATCCACAGAGAAAAGAGGAAAAGTGAATTGCTTGAGGATTAATTCGGAGGCACTCAATGTTTAGGGGTTGAGCAGAGAAGCAGCTGGCAAAGGACACTGTGGAGGAGCAACCATTGGGGAGGAAAAGCAGGTAAGTGTGGTGCTGCAGGTGCTAAAGAAGACAGGTACAAGAGCCAAAGAGTAGTCAGCTGAATCAACTGTGGTGTGAGGTTGATGAAGACAGAGAAGGACCATTGGATTTGGTTGCTATGAAGGCCATCGGTAACCTTGACCTCCTAGGCTTTAATAGGAAGGAATGGATGAAAGCCCCGATACACACGCTCACAAAGACCATCCAGCCTACCTGAACTCCCCATCTTTGGCTCTCCAGAAAAACCATACCCTTTGGACTTGCAGACCTGGGTTTGCACCCTGGCTCTTCCACTTACTACCCATATGAACTTGGGCAACTTAGCAATCCTTTCTGAGCATTAGTTGCCTCTTCTGTAAAATGGGAATAATTACATCTTATGGCATTGTCATGTTTGTTATGGGATGTCATATATAAAAGCATTAGGCTCTGGAAAGCAGTAGGTGCTCAAGAGGTGGTAACTATTATTCTTACCATAATTTTCCTCTCCTATGTTGCTTGTTCAGTGCATTCTAGGCAGGCAAGCTCCCCTTGTCTCTGTGTAACTGGCACTTCTGCTTGACAAGCCCAAGCACAGAATCACTTTGTCTAACACAGTACCTAACATGAACTACAAGCTCAATTAAATGTTTGTGATAATGGCAACTGAATAAGAAATATTTGCAGCATGTCCACAGAAACCCTTAGAGGATTAAAGTAGAGAGTACAATGATCAGACCCTTCCTTTTCTACAAGGACCCCCAAGGTGCGTATTGTTCCCGAATTAATGGAGAGCTGAAATTAGGCTCCTTTTCCCATTATTAAAGAGCAGGATGCCTTTCTTAAAACTTACCCAGGAATTAATCACTGAGCATTTTCTATTGTAGATATCACTACTCTCTAAAGTAGAAATGTCACTCAGAGAAAATCAGACATTCAGGTAATTCAAAGTTTTATTGAATATGCTTTACAAATGGGCATTTGATTGTCATATCCAAGTACTCACTACAAATCAGAAAAACAAATCTTACTTCTAAAACTTAAAGCAACCTTGCTGCTCCTAAAACCTTAAAGAAAAGTCTTAAGTTTGTTTCTTCCAGTACTTGTTAATTTCATTCAGCGACAGCCTTTTTAGACCACCTCCTTTTTCAATTCTGTTTATTTATTTATTTTTGGCCATGCCCTGCGGCATATGGTATCTTAGTCCCCAACCAGGGATCGAACCCGCACCCCCTGCACTGGAAGTGCAGAGCCTTAACCACGGGACCACCAGGGAAGTCAAGACCATCTCCTTTTCAGAAAGAACCTAAGACACTGTTTTTTCTCCCAGCTCCTCTCATTACAAAGCTTCATCCTCACTACCACAGTGAGGATAAATGGAAAGAACATCAGACTTCATGCCAGAAAATCTTTTCAAATTCAGACAATGATACATCCTATGCATTAGAGTAAATCAACACGTCTCTAACCTTAGTTTCCTCATCTGCAAAATGAGGGTCACAGCACTTATCTTACAGGATTATTTTGAAAACTAAAAGAAGTAAAATATGCAGGTGTAATTTATAAATTATAAAACACCATCAAAATGTGTCCTAGCATTATTACTCATGAATGAAGATGGATCATTCATTTTTCAATGAATATTTATTGGTCATTACCATGTGGCAGACATTTTGCTAGGCTGTACGATACACATCAAAAAATATATATATCATTGGCCCTAAGGAGCCTATTATATGTATATCATTCCAGTGGGGAAGAATCATGCTCTGGGTGGAGAGAAACATGCTCTGGTGTGGCCACGGGTGCTAGGGAGCCAGAGAGGACACTCAGACAGGGGTGTGGAAAATGAGGGCATTCAGAGGACTTCCCGAGGGGGTGAAACTGGAACTGTCTCACTGCAGATCCAAAAGTAAGACATCAAACTCGAATCACTCCTCTGTGAGGTGAACCACACAATCCACAGTTCTGGGCTCCCAGCCAGTTCAAAGGTAGCACAGCCCGCTAAGGCAGAACTTCTCAGCCTCAGTGTCACTGATAATTCTGTTCTTCTGGATAATTCTGTTTTTCGGCGGTGCTATCCTGTGTATATCATAGAATGTTCAGCAGCATCCCTGACCTCTATCTACTAGATGCTAGTACAACCCCCTACCCTCAGCTTTGACAGATATTTTAACTGCCAAATGGCCCCTGAAGGGCAAGATTGCCTACAGTTGAGAAATACAGCCTTAACATAATAGAAAACCAACACAGGTAATTCTAGAAGGAATGCATTTCATACAGTTGGTGCTTAGACTTATACTAGTTAGTGCTCAACAAATACTGTATGAATCAATGAGCCACCCAGAGCCCATTTGACCTTTTGGGTCTCAGGTAGAAGAGCTCTGAGCTAGTAATTAAGTTCTAAGGTGCCGAGTGAGAGGTAACAATAACACCAAGTCCATTTATACTACGCTCTGTGCAAGTTGTATAATCTGGGGCAAGTAGTTCAATTTCCCTGAGTCTCTCAGGCTCTTCAGTTCCTAAAAGGGGATATTAATCTTATCTTGCAAGGTTGTTGGGAGAATTACATGAGATAATTGATGTAAAACATAAAGCATTAGAGGTTTAGGGACTCACTCCTTTGGTGCAGTTGACAAGAGGAATCTTAGCAGGATGCTCTCCCAGCTCCTGCCAAGCTTTACCCTTAAAAAGGACTAGAGTAGTTTGAGCATATGCTTTTTTGTTGTTATAAACGTGGAGAATGCTGAGCACGGCACCAGGAACTGACACATCAGCTATCCAATTCACTGCTCACAAGCAACCAGGTTAGTCAAGAGGCTCAGGGAATTCCCTGGTGGTCCAGTGGTTAGGACTCCGTGCTTCCACTACACGGGGCATGGCTTCAGTCCCTGGTGGGGGAACTAAGATCCCACATGCCACGTGGCGTGGCCAAAAAAAAAAAAAAAATGTCAAGAGGCCCAGAGAGTTGTGACTCGCCCAGGATTACACAGCAAAAAGGTACTTCGCTGAATTCAAAAGGCACTAGGGCTGGCCAGCCTGCTCACCACCACCACCTCCATCACACCTAGGCTTATTTAGATGTGAGTTTTTGGAAAATGCTTTTTGTATTCTGTGTTCTGTAGTTTCCTATAGACATACATGACCAGATCGGGAAATTTCTCCTGAAAATACTGGGAAGGTTCTCCAATTTTTGACTTCATCCTGAAATGAAACATAAATATTTTGATATGCTTGCCCCAAACTCTGCATCCCCCCTTTATAGCATATGGCCCTGGAAATCTTTTTTGCTCCCCTGGTTTCTATAGCAGAATAAATGAGGACTTTGGAATCTGACAGAGCAAGATTCATCTCCTGACTCTTCAACTAATGGACTAAACTTTGGCAACTTAAGTTTTATGAACCTCAGTTTTATTATCCATAAAATGAACATAATACAATCCCATGATCCCTTATCTACAATGCTGAAATCCAAAAAAGCCCTCAAAACTGCAAGTTTTTTGTGAGTTTACAGCTAAGAATTTTGGTAGCAAAAGCTAATTGGATTAACACGGGGCTACTCTTCTAATGCTACATTCGCTTTACCCAGCCACGCAGCCCCCTGTGTTTCTTCACACAACAATTGCTAGCCTACTGTTAAAGGGGACTCAGCAAAAATTGAAAAGGAAGAGGAGAACCTGCAGGGCATGTCCACTGTTGACTGTAAGACCCTTGTGATAGCCCTTTTCCAAACAGAAGGAAGAATGACTTTCATCAAAATAAATTTTCTTCTTTCTATCAAATAGCAGATATAAATTTAGAACTGAATTTTTAAGATTATTCTCATCTCATACATGACTTCTCATACATGACTTACTTTTTATTCTTTACTTCATCAATGTGCTCTCCCAAGTTCCGGATGAACTTCAGCAGGTCACCCACGGTGTCCTGATAAACATTGCCTTTTTCATAAAACTTATTCATTTTTTCCATCACAAATTTGTCAATCTAAAAAAAATTACACAAAAATGTGGTAGCAACACAAAATAAATCCTGAATGTTAATACAAAAAGGCAGAATACAAATTTGAATATATGTCAAAATTTCCACTAACTAATAAAGCAAATTAATACAAAGAAAAGAATGGAAGTAAGCACCGTACACCACAACGCTAACTGTAGTTGTGTTTGGATGTGGAATTATAAATAACTTCAAATTCGTGTATCTATCTTCCAAGATAATTGTTTTCATAGAAATTAACTACATTAAAACATGGTTTAGGAAATCGGCTACTATACAGGAAATTTGCTCACTATACTATACAGTAGCACTATCTTTGTGGCCACCCTTCCAAATTCATACTTGATTACATCTCCTCCTTCAAGAGGGTTTTCCTGACTGAAACCAGGCGTTGCAGCCATTGCCATAGTGAGTGTGGTTGTTCTTTGTTTTGTTTTGTTTGTAATTATGTTTCCAAAGGTTACATGTTTCTCCTTGTCCCGAGGTGTCCCAGGGCAGCTGCTCTCATATTAATAATGCCTTCCTGGGCTTCCCTGGTGGCGCAGTGGTTGAGAATCTGCCTGCCGATGCACGGGACACGGGTTCGTGTCCCGGTCCTGGAGGATCCCACATGCCGCGGAGCGGCTGGGCCCGTGAGCCATGGCCGCTGAGCCTGCGCGTCCGGAGCCTGTGCTCCGCAACGGGAGAGGCCACAA